CGCTCATTCCACGACGTGGTGCGAGATGCCGGCAGGAGGGCTTCACTCGCTCGGTTTCTGCACCCACTGACATTAGATACTGTTAGATACGTGCACACTTTATAAGGTGGAGTAAAGATGCAAATGGGGTTTTTTAGTTGCATTTTGTGTGCTATTTTTATATACTGTATCCTAACTAGGCACAGCACACGTTTGTGTTGAAAAGCATATGCTGAAACTGCTCCACAGCTTTACAAATCACAGGCGAACAGAAGATATTTGGAGCAATCTTAGGAAGAAACATCATGGCTTGTTTGGAGGACACGGGGTGTGTGTGGTGATGTTTTTGTCATTAGTAGTGGTTGTCACCAGTGATGTTCATTTTGACTGCTTAAATACTCAAAATCAATCAGCTGAGGGTAGAACGATAGAGTTTTCCCTGCGCTATTTTTAAATTGCCTGTCAATGTACATATGCATCAGAACAACGTTTGTTTTACCATTGCATCACATCTTGCCATTTTTATAAGCATCTTGTGCTTTCAATGTTGCATTTTTAAGACAGCATGTCAAGTGGAAATAGAGCTCAGGCGTCTGAGACATGTTTATGGCTGTCTAGTGTTTTGTTTTTACCGAAGAATGTGTGGAGCGATTCTAACCAACTGGGCCAACAAATTAAAAATAAAGGGTTTGTGACCTTTCGAAATGTATTAATGATCAATTATTGCTCTAGTATATATGCCCATTTTTAGTTGTGAGAATGAATATAATTACTCAAGGCGGTGAGTTATTGACTCATGTGACAGAACTAAATCTTATCTGATTCACAAATGTTTTTAATGGATAACTTGTACACTTTTTATAGCATTTTTCCCCTCCAATATTCCCAAAATGTTTTAATTTATAATAAAAACATCCCCTTATTATTATTATTAGTAGTAGTAGTATATTGTTAATAATCATAAAAATATTTATAATTGTTGTTATTTTGTTATTTTATTAATAATGTTATTTTTTTATTTTTTTATTATTATTATTATTGTGGTAATAATATACTACTAACATTATTAATACTATTCATAATGATATTATTTACAATAATAATAATAATATTTACTATAATAATAATAAGTATTATTGTTATTTATTATTATTATATGAATGTACTACTACTAATATTATTTTATATTCATAATGTTCATATTCATAATTTGTTTTATATTGATATTATTATATAATACTTAAAATAACAATAATCAACAAAAATGTATCCAAGTAATAACTGTTGACTGTATAAATGACCAGTATATCTGCTATTGCACAACTGCTTTGAATGAATCTCATCCAATTTAGACAAAATATATAGTTTTTAGGAAGTTTATGTAATGGTGTTTTATCAAATTGTTTTGTGCAGATGAAAACTATGGCTGGCACTCTATCAGTTCATACTTATTCATTCATATCAGCTTGATGAATATCAAATAGCTTGGCATTCTGACTGCAAGGAAACGGCATGAAGTCAATGACTGAACTTGACTTGGGACTTGAGGTTTGTTTTATGTCACAGTCTCACAGATCATATGTGGACCCACACAGGGACTACAACACGAAATTCAAGCCATCTGTTATCCAACTGAGCGACGCTCTGCCTTTTTATTGCCTATTTTATGGCAAAACTGGGGCGTCGAGTTGCGATCAGTTTTGATTAAACATCCAAATTGTCTGAGATTCGCAAATCCGCCGGGTAGCTTTTTACGGCGTCGATTGGCATCCGGTCTGCCGCACCACTAAATCACACGGCCCAAAGCGACCCAGACGGCACTGGACGCATTGAATTTGCTGCCATTTTAAGTAACAATATCCCCTGAATGTCACTTCCTCAGGGCCTGCGGGAGGAGGGGCGAGGAGGAGAAGAGTGGCGAGACGGAGAAAAGCCAAAGAGCGATAGGAAGAGAAAAAAAAACGTGCTCTCCTCGACTCCCAAACGCCTCACCTTCAAAATGTTCCTGGCTATTTTTCCCCGACACACACATGCACACGTCTGGCCTTTCTCAGGCGAACTCCCCTCGAACCCAGCGTGCCCGTGTTCCTGTCATACGTCGTGTGACGGTTCGACAGCATGCAGGCATGACACGCCAGACCACCAGAGCCCTACGGCACATTAGAAAATCAATCCCTCCCGTGTCGGCGTGCTTCCAAAGGGCCCGTACAGAGCGGACCGCTGCCGGCCTGCTGAGTTCAGGCTTTTAAATGTCATTGGTTGATCTTGGAAACATGCACAGAGATGCACGCACCCATCAGCGCTTCTTTCACTGAACGGAGAGGATATCTTCGCTGCTTCATTTAAGTGACTAATTACCCATCAGTTCAGGGCGCAGCCGCGCAGCGAGAAACCCTGTGTGTTTTTGTCGAAGAGAAAACAGCAGATTTTTAGAAATGCAAATATTTGTTTTGAGTGAAATGATTCCTTTTAGCAGATTGCTCTGAGATGGTTATGTGAAGATCTGTGTCTTCTAACTATAGCCGTTTCTGTCGTGTTTAGATATTCCGGGTGACGTCTCGGTCTCGGGTAATGTCAGTTCAGCTATGCTCTGTTTACCTGACTTCTGAAACCTTGGAGTTCAGCGCAGACATTAAAATGCTTTTAACGCTGAGGGGGGGGAAAAAAACGGCAGACGCTCCTTTCGTAAAATGACAAGCAAACAATATCGCCTAGCAACAGAGGCTGCGCTGAGCCACCGTCATGTTTGGAGCCAGAGATTCAAGCGAGACATTTATAGCTGGAGGCCAGTTTGTCTGAGATGATAGGTTACTGTTCTTTATCATTTTGTAAAAGGTTTGGGTCATGTTATGAGAAACATTTCAGAAAATAAAAGCTAGATACTATTGCTCCTACTCAAATAGCTGTGCAAAAAAGTATTTTAAAGGAGAAATATTATACTCTTTGTAGCAATTTATTATTTACAGTATTCAAAGAAATATGTATTTATTTGTTTTTTATTTATTTACAAATTATGATTATTATTGTAACTTAGAATTGCATCACAATTTCCAGCCTCCAACTTTATTATTTCTAATATTCACAAAAAATATATATTTATTTATTTTATTTAGAATTATAGTAGGTTTAATTATTTTTTAATTTAGGATTGCATGACCATTTTACTGCTTCCAACTTGATTATTTCTAATATTCACCAAAAAAAAAAAAAATATATATATATATATATATATTAATTTATTTATTATTTTTGTTGGTTGGACGGATTTAAATTATTAGTACTTTTTTATTATTATTAAGTATTGTATGACCATTTTCCAGCCTCCAACTTTATTATTTCTAATATTCACAAAAAATATATATTTATTTATTTATTTAGAATTATAGTAGGTTTAATTATTTTTTAATTTAGGATTGCATGACCATTTTACTGCTTCCAACTTTATTATTTCTAATATTCACCAAAAAAAAAAATACATATATATATTTATTTATTTATTATTTTTGTTGGTTGGACGGATTTAAATTATTAGTACTTTTTTATTATTATTAAGTATTGTATGACCATTTTCCAGCCTCCAACTTTATTATTTCTAATATTCACAACAACAAAAAAATTATAATTATAGTAAGTTTAATTATTTTTTAATTTAGGATTGCATGACCATTTTCCTGCTTCCAACTTTATTATTTCTAATATTCACAAAAAAATATATATATTTTTTTAATTTATTTTATTATTTTTGTTGGTTGGTCGGATTTAAATTATTAGTACTTTTTTTATTATTATTAAGTATTGTATGACCATTTTCCAGATTTCAACTGTTTTTGCTACGATACCTTTAAAACATACATAAATGTAATGCTGAATAGGCAATGAAATTTGAATCAAATGCTAAATGTATATCATACGGTCATAAAAGACTGTATGTTAGTTGATGATGCACAGTCTGACGTGGGCTTTACCCGATAGGTAAATTGTCATATCATATTTGTGTTATTTCATTTCAAAACATAGTAAAAAACTGTTGTCCGTCATATGGCCCCTTGAAACATCTTAAGGGAGTTGTAGTGGCTTATAAGTTGCCTTTGAATCATATTGTGTTGACGTTGCTTTTTTTGCGCACAATTCTTTAGTCTGAAGTATAAAACCCTTCCAAAATGAAAGAATCCAAGTCTGATGGCTCTTTCTCTCGCCCTCTCTTTCTCTCTCCTTCTGTTTGAAGAGCCATTTTGCTCCACATAAAGCGCTCTAACAAGCAATTCAGGCCAGGTCTGTTTCTTCAGCTCCAGTCTAGCCTGTGTAATCAATCACAGTGTAACCATCTATTCCTGAAGACCTGCTGAAGCAAATGATATGCAGTAGCAGTCTCAGTACCCAGTTAACGGTCCAGAAAGGGGTTAGTCTGAGTCTGAAAGAAAAAAAGAAAATCACATTACATTACATGCAGCGTTAATGAGGTAGATTAACCTGAATGATTTTATCTTTCATTCACTTGCTTAAGTTGATTAATTGGTACAAACAAAGCGTAAAAAAAAAAAGAATTGGACTATCTAGTGTCATGTAGCAATTGCATTTGTATGTATCTCAGGAAGATCAAGATAAAATGCTTTCAGTATTAAAGACATATTACTAGTGTCCTGAAGCATGTAAAGTACATTTTATGACTATGATGAAAAGGCCTACTTGGCATACATTCTTGTGTAATCTAAAGCTTTCACAAATGATTTATGTAAACAAATGTAGTTTTTTACAGAAAAGTGGTTGAATTTTGTGACAATTTATGCAAGAGCAGTTGATCCCATTGTGTGCATTTTATAATTTCTTTTACTTATTTAGTATAAACTCTAAAAGCTTATATCTAAACAGTGTCCACTCTTATGTTATGGAGGAATCTACATCCTAACTAAAGCATTTGCTGATTTCATGCTATCATGATGTGTGGGTGTGATTATGTGTACAAGAAAGAAAAATCATTTAAAGTGTTCAGGTCGATAAAATGCCTAAATCTCTTTCCACAGACATGCTTGGAGTTGGAGCGCTATCTGCAGACAGAACCCAAACGTCTGTCTGACCTTTTCGACGAAGAACTGGATGGCCTCCTCACCCCCTCCTTCATGAAGGAAGACGGTGATGAAGACCTGTTAGACCCCCTCCTTCCCAGCCTTAACAACCCGCCTAGTCCTCCTCCTCCTCACCTCACTCCACGCAAAGAAACCATCTCCTCCACTTCCTCTCCTGTGACCTCTCCAGACATCACCTTAGGGGTCAACGCAGCCCAGCTGAACGCTGTAACCTCCCTAACACCTCCCTCATCCCCAGAACTGGGCCGTCACTTAGTCAAACCCACCCACACACTCAGTGCCTCGCCCGACGGGACTCTCACGCTCAAGCTAGTGGCCCGAAAGGTGGGCTTGAGCTCTGCCAAGCTCGTGACGGCTCACCCGGTGCCGCTTTCTCCCCAGCATGGCAGCAGTGGCGCACAGAGCGATGGGGAACAGGGTGGCACCTTCACCGTGGGAGCTGGCGAGATGGCAGAGAACAAGAAGAGGGTCCATCGCTGCCAGTTCAACGGGTGTCGGAAAGTCTACACCAAGAGTTCACATCTGAAGGCACATCAGAGGACACACACAGGTAAGCGTGTACATTTGTGTATATGATTTATTTGCAGTGATTATTCTGTTGATATTTTCCCATTTTTCAGTGACTCTTTCTACAGAAGTTGGTTGTCTTTGAACGAGTCAATGAATCATTCACTCAACTGACTCGTTCAAAAACACTGATTCATTCATGAATGATACAAGTTTCTGTATATATCGAGGGTCGGCATGCAGGCACGTGTGCCGACATTAGCACGCGGAGGGATAATCACTGTCACGTGACAATAGCTAAAAAGGTGTGTATATAAATGTTTCCGAACTTACATATGGACGTACATTTTGAGGTAATATTTCCTCAGTCACAGCCTGTTTTATTAAGTTAGGTGCTATAAATACTATAAGTGTGATATTTTAATTATTTTGATGATTTTAATTATTGTGATATTTTAATCCAACAATCCATTCACCTGACCTGAGGTGCGCGCGTCTGTGATTAAACCTCCCTTGTTTCCGACCACTTGTGTATATGAAAGAGTCATTGAATCATTCATTCAACCGATTTGTTCAGAAACACTGTATTTATGAGTGAGTCATTGAATCATTCGTTAAACCGATTTGTTCAGAAACACTGTATTTATGAGTGAGTCATTGAATCATTCATTTTAACCGATTTGTTCAGAAACACTGTATTTATGAGTGAGTCATTGAATCATTCATTCAACCGATTTGTTCAGAAACACTATATTTATGAGTGAATCATTGAATCATTCGTTAAACCGATTTGTTCAGAAACACTGTATTTGTGAGTGAATCATTGAATCATTCATTAAACCGATTTGTTGAGAAACACTGTATTTATGAGTGAGTCATTGAATCATTCATTCAACCGATTTGTTCAGAAACACTGTATTTATGAGTGAGTCATTGAATCATTCATTAAACCGATTTGTTCAGAAACACTATATTTATGAGTGAGTCATTGAATCATTCGTTAAACCGATTTGTTCAGAAACACTGTATTTGTGAGTGAATCATTGAATCATTCATTAAACCGATTTGTTGAGAAACACTGTATGAGTGAGTCATTGAATCATTCATTCAACCGATTTGTTCAGAAACACTGTATTTATGATTGTCATTGAATCATTCATTCAACCGATTTGTTCAGAAACACTGTATTTGAGTGAGTCATTGAATCATTCATTAAACCGATTTGTTCAGAAACACTATTTATTAGTGAGTCATTGAATCATTCATTAAACCGATTTGTTCAGAAACACTGTATTTATGAGTGAGTCATTAAATCATTCATTAAACCGATTTGTTCAGAAACACTGTATTTATGAGTGAGTCATTAAATCATTCATTAAACCGATTTGTTCAGAAACACTGTATTTATGAGTGAGTCATTGAATCATTCATTCAACCGATTTGTTCAGAAACAGTGTATTTATGAGTGAGTCATTGGAATCATCATTGTTTGAACTGATTTGTTTTGAAACACCGATTCATTCAGGGACAATACAAGTGACTGTATTTAAGATTCATTAAATCATTAATTAATAGTATATTTCTATAGTATTTTCAACTACAGAGTCCTTCAAATAATAAAAGGAATTTATATTATAATTATGGTTATGTTAAGGAGGTAGACTTAAGGGAGGGACCCAAGACACATCATACCATAGCAACCACATAGCAACACCCTGGCATCATGGCAGTGTCATGGCATCATTTGTTTGGTTAATCTAAACAAGTGTTATGTTTATTTACAGTTTTAAATAAACACTTAGCCTGCTCTTACAGCAGTGGCATGCTACATATTTAGAAATATTCAGTCAGTCCCACCACATTTATCATTAATTTTCATATTTTGCGCAATCAATCTTGTTTTACACAATAAGCGACAAGCTGATGTAATTAATGGTGCTTCGTCGTCGCCATGGCAGCGTGCCTGTCCAGCCCCCTCGGCTGCAAATATTTTCTCAAGGTTGCGACAGTACTTCCTCAGCAGATTCGAATGGTGCAGGAAACGGCCATAATTCTCTGTCTCTTCGATCTCAATCCAAAAGCACTCAGACTGCTGTCCCAAAGCTGTCCGCAGAGTGAATAACTGCCTCATGATGGATGGACCGGGTGGAATGAGACGTACTCGCCTGTATATTTCCCTACGTCTGCTGCGCGCCTGTTAACACACCAGGGCAAATCCCTAAGTCTTGAAACCAGAACATGCCACGTGTTAATGGCTCCCTTCTGGTGTATTAGAAAGTATTTTAGACGTACACATTATGACATGAAGACTGACAGTAGAATGCACAAGAATACCAGGACGCCTTGTCGAGGACCAAAAAGGACCAAAAAAGCACCATAAAAGTATTTCATATGATGTGTGAACTTTCCAAGTTTCTGAAGTCATACAGTAGCTTTAAGCAACTATTCTCTGAAAAACTTGCCCTTCACTGTAGCTCTTAAAGGGATAGTTCAGCCAAAAATGTAAATTCTGTCATTAATTACTCACCCATAATGGCGTTCCAAACCCATAAGACTTTTGTTCATCTTCAGAATACAGATGAAGATCTTTTTGATTAAATGGTAAATGAACTGCTCAATTCATATGGATTAGTTTTACGATCTCTTGAACTTTTTGAAGCGTCAACGTGGTAGTTGCGTAGCTGTCAATGGAGGGACAGAAAGCTCTCAGATTTCATTAAAAATATCTTAATTTGTTTTCCGTAGATGAACAAAAGTCTTACAGGTTTGGAACGACATGAGTAATTAATGAATTATTTTCATTTTTGGGTAAACTATCCCTTTAAATCTAATTTGTTCATAGTCAAACTTGATGTGTCACAGCAGATTTCATGTGAATAATCAAAAAACATCACTTGCTCTTGTTTGTCTCATAACCAAAAGCAACTAAATATGCTGGAACACAAATAATATTTGAGAGCGACGGCAGAGATTTTATAAAATCTACTGATGGAAAAAGAATATATACTATATATATATATACCGTTTTCATTCCAAGCAATTTTTGTATTGCATTTGTCTAGAATAAAAAAAAAGATGCCAAATCTTTTTTTTGGCAGAGAAGTCAATGTTTAAACTGTCCTGTTAATTGCTTATCGCAACAAAGCAAATTTGAATTAGTCTTTAACTAAAATTGCATTATTCATTAGCTGTAATCTTTTTCAGCACTTTCTGCATTGCATTTGTCCAAAAAATACAATGAAGTATATGAGCTGTGTTAGAATCTGATGCCAAAACAATTTGTCAACTCCTTTGCAATTAGCGAAATCCTATTTTGGAGGCGTTATTACTTGGACAATTTCTGTGATTGAGATTTGTAGAGAAACGAAGGCGGCGTGAATTGAAATGACATTGCCCTCTGGAGCGTTTTAGAAAAGGCGTTTGGGAACTAGATAAGACCGGCTTTTCAGGGAGACACAGAGAGGTGAAGAGAGGAACGTGGCAGCACTCGTTTCCACTTTTTCTCTTCCTCTGCGTTCCATTATAACAAAGTCGGAAAAAAGTTGGAAGAGCATTGGAAATGGCTTTGTGCTTGGTGCCAAAGTGAACTCCACAGATCATAATGAGTCTTTCTGTCTCCAGTTTAACTTGGAAAATGTAATTAAGCTAGACTCCGGCACCTGTAAGGGTGCTCAGAGAGAGAGAAAAAAGTGTGTGTGAGAGAGGAAAGGTGGGGGTGACACACACACAGATGGGGGTGGGGAGTTGCCAGGCAACTGGTGTGTCTCCGAACGGGACTCTATAATTGGGAACGATTCTCGGGTCTCGGCGCTGGTTTCAGCCTCGTCCGTGAACTTCCATTCCCACGAGCATGCATGCACGCGCTCACTCGCACATACGCACCTATATCCTCTTCTACATACATGTATCATGTAACACTCGGGTTGCCAGGCAACTGCTTCCTCCCCTGCCAGTATGAGCCGTAATTGGCTGGTGGCACAGAGGGACAGACGATGCCAGATCGAGCCGGCTCCACTGCTGCCTCCTACGTTACGCTCCTGACCGGTTGCTAGGCGACAAACTCCAGCATCCATGCCTCCCTGACTTCTAATTGGCTGGTGTTGCGGTCGTAGCGAGCGCAGGTCTAAACCTGTCCTGCTTAATGTGGCTAGCTCGTGAATGTGTGTGAAAGGGTTTTCAATTTAGTGCTCAAATTCCGATCTAAATATAACTTGTTGTTTTTACAGCTCAGAATGAAAGTGTGACCGTCATGGAAGGTTCTCAATGCAATAAAAACAAGTCGAAATGGCATTCAGAGCCTATTTTACTTGCATAGTGGGATCTATTTCAGAGTAAAACAGTTTGTTAAATGAAAATTTAAGTCAATGAATGGAGTGGTGGAAAAAATATATTCATCCATGTGAAAATTGGACAGTCAATACCAGAATTATAGCCAATTCTCTCAAATGATCAGGAAGAGTTATTTGCTTGCATTCATAAGGGCAGTTGCTTGCAAAGAAAATTGTGACTGACTGGATTTGAAAATAAATAAATACATAAGCTTTTAAAATGTATATGTGTGTGTGTGTATATATATATATATATATATATTTTTTTTTTTTTTTTTTTTATATATATATATATATTTTTTTTTTTTTATTATTATTATTATTTTTTTTTTTTTTTTTTTTTTTTATTATGTATTTATTTATTTGGGCCGGACGAGTATTTTTTATATTTAGTAATGGAAGCTATATATATATATATATATATATATATATATATATATATATATATATATATATATATACAGCTTCCATTACTAAATATAAAAAATATTATTTTGTAATTTTAATAATAAAAAACACATGTGCACAAACCAAATAAAAAAACTTTTAAAATAAACAAATAGGCTTTTATAATATATAAATAAATGGGCTTTTAAAAAATCAAGTAATGTATTTAAAATGAATAAATAATTTGTAAATACATATTAATTAAAAGATGTTTGCTATTTTATTTCATTTCAGTTTTCTATTAAGATAGTAAGTAGAATCAATTTAGATTTAATGTTTTAGTTAATGCTGATTTAATGTCTAGTTCAATTAATGAGCTCTACTTGCATGAACATCTGACTTATTTCCTTGTCAAGCCATTGATATGAATCCACAGTCTTGTTTCAGAAGATTTGTGGATATGGCAAACAGTGGAGACAGGGCCAGCTGGTTGACAGTAAATATGAGGTTCCTCCCCATTACCCATCATTACTACTCCAATTAACACCTCTCCCAGAGATCCAAATAAACTCTGCCTGCCCCCCATTTCATACGTTACGTTCAGCAGCGCTAATGAACAAGCTTCGAGACACCATACGAACCGCAGCACTCCTGCAAGGCGGCTTCCATCCACAACGAAAAACATACAACTTCAAAAATGGGAACGCAGTCTCTCACATCTGTTAAACGCAGCAAAGATCCCATTGGAAACTCATCGAGTGCGAGTTCATTTGCCCCGACAGCTGTGCGCCCTAATGACGATCATGTATTTCATAAACTCCAATTGTGTCAACACTCTTTCGATAGGCTAATCAACTTAAAACAAATGAATTAGACGGCTGGCTGGACCGAGTCGTTGAATTCAAGGCCCCTTGAGGAAGAAAGTGCGTTTTTAATCCGGTGTGTGTGCATCTGTTTGTGTGTCCGTACCAGGGGAGAAGCCGTACAAGTGCTCATGGGAAGGCTGTGAATGGCGGTTCGCGAGAAGCGACGAGTTGACGAGGCACTACCGCAAACACACTGGCGCCAAGCCTTTCAAGTGCAATCACTGCGACAGGTGAGACATACTAGCTACGTGTCACGTTGTTAGGTGACATGTCAAGCAGTAATACACTTCATATTATTTTTATCATTTCTATTTTGAACCTTTTTCATTCTTGTATTATTTTCATTTCTGCAATTTAATTAATACTATCTAAAATGTACACTGTAAGACAATTTAATGGTAACCAGCACCTAAAATATAGTTTACCTACATATATATATATATAAATGCAAATTATTGAATGAAATAAAAAAATACTATTTTGTAATTGTAATAATAAAAACACATTAAGAATTATATATTGATTAAAAAAACTATTTTTAATTTTAATGAAATGCATAAATTATAAAATACTATTTTGTCATTTTAACAATAAAAAGAATTAGCCTCATTTAATTCTTCCTAAGCCTCATTTAGTTCTAGCACCTTGTAGGAGTTTTGGGAATCCTTGGTCAGCTTTTTTTGTACATCTAACACAGGTGTCCTGGGTATACAAATGTGATGAATAGTCTGAAATATTTTCATTTTCAAATATCTATCTAGAGATGCTCCACCTGTCACCTTTGCTGGTAGATGCAGCTTTATGATTAAAAACATCTGCTATTCAGACAATGGTTTCTCTATGTTCACCAGATCTCAGAAATAAGCTTTCAAATTGAACATAGTGAGTGACAAATAGAGTTTCCCAACTACATTTACTCACAGAAGCTACTTTAAAACTTGTACTGTAACTGCCAAGCTACAAGCTAAACACTCTCCTAAAATGTTTTCTATCTTTATTTATTATGTAGCATTGGGAAGTCCATTTCATAATATTAAAGGCAGGGTAGGAGATTTGTTCCAGAAACGTTCTTGTTATACTGTTTGAAAGTCTCTTCACACCCTGATAGCAATCCCAAAGTTAAGTGGTCTAAATGTATTTACATGTGTATTGTCTGTGGAAGGCGTAGGGCCATAAAATGTTCATCCAATCATAGCATTCGGTCCGAATGCAATGATGCAATATTTTACCTGCCTTTTAACATATGTACTTCCATACCTCCACGAACCTGCTCGCACAGACATCACACGTCATCAGTGCGTTTCATGCAGAGTTAGACAGACGTCAGTCACAGAGCACCGCAAACGAAACCGTTTAACAGTTCCTCCTGATCCAAAACAACCACCTTATGCTGCGTTCACGCCATAACTACTGTAATTTGGAAGAGATAAAAACCCGTGTCGTTATACACTGAGCTGTTCGGTAGTATGGTCAGTGCTCTTTAAGTTGTTTATGTTCATTATTATTGTAATGTTATGTGCTTTGAGACATGAGGTAGTTTAACGCCATGTGTTTTGAAGGAGACGTGGCTTTGGAAACGAAATGGAGGGAGGGTGGGATCTTATGCTTTCAAAGCTAGCTTGCTAATGCTAGCCTTCCTGAAAATTGCCTACCCTAACTTTAAACCGGTTTATTTTAATGGTCAAGTAAACAAACTGGTTTAAACAAAGTCACAGATTCATTTTATACGCAGCGTGGCTATCTATCTATCTATCTATCTATCTATCTATCTATCTATCTATCTATCTATCTATCTATCTATCTATCTATCTATCTATCTATCTATCTATGTATCTATCTATCTATCTATCTATCTATCTATGTATCTATGTATCTATGTATCTATCTATCTATGTATCTATGTATCTATCTATCTATGTATCTATCTATCTATGTATCTATCTATCTATGTATCTATGTATCTATCTATCTATGTATCTATCTATCTATCTATGTATCTATCTATCTATCTATGTATCTATGTATCTATCTATCTATCTATGTATCTATGTATCTATCTATCTATCTATGTATCTATCTATCTATGTATCTATCTATCTATGTATCTATCTATCTATGTATCTATCTATCTATGTATCTATGTATCTATCTATCTATGTATCTATCTATCTATGTATCTATCTATCTATCTATGTATCTATCTATCTATCTATCTATGTATCTATCTATCTATCTATGTATCTATCTATCTATCTATGTATCTATCTATCTATCTATGTATCTATCTATCTATCTATCTATGTATCTATCTATCTATCTATCTATGTATCTATCTATGTATCTATCTATCTATCTATGTATCTATCTATCTATCTATGTATCTATCTATCTATCTATGTATCTATCTATCTATGTATCTATCTATCTATGTATCTATCTATGTATGTATCTATCTATGTATTTTCTCCTGACTCCTCTAAAAAGTAATTTGTTGCTACAAATAAAATGTAGTTAAAGAGGCAATAAATAAATGTGATAGATAGATAGATAGATAGATAGATAGATAGATAGATAGATAGATAGATAGATAGATAGATAGATAGATAGATAGATAGATAGATAGATAGATAGATAGATAGATAGATAGCCACGCTGCGTATAAAATGAATCTGTGACTTTGTTTGAACCAGTTTGTTTACTTGAGCATTAAAATAAACCGGTTTTCGGTTTATTTTAATAAAAAATAAAAATGAAAAATAAAAAAAAATTAATAAAAAAAACAATTATTTATTGCCTTATTTATAGGCAATAAATAAATGTGAAAGATATATTGATTATTATATTATCAGTATTATAAAATATATATTTTATATATATATATATATATATATATATATATATATATTATTAAGTGTATATAAAATTAAATTAAAAAAAAAACTTAAGTCGAAAATGTAGTCATGAACAGCAATATTTCAATATTTTGCTACAAAAACGATTCGGGATATTTCACACAAAAGCTCCAATCCATGCAAATGCATGCTGGTACACTATAAATGTTCCAACATACTTTACATGGAAGGACATTTAGTTCATAAAACATCAAGTGTGCATTTCCATTTGAGTACAAAGCTAAGTACGTAGTTCTGTGCTTTCTTTCAGAACATTTTCAATTTGGGCGCAGTGCCTGCGAGACATTTGCCTCCTGGTATTGACCAAGAGCTTCCACCTCTGAAGTGAATCTTAACTCGTCTTCGCTTTGATGTATAAATAGGTTCTTCATGCTTGTTAGACTTGCGTATCTCACTCTGAGCTCAGCTCCGCCCTCTCTTGTCATCCTGGCTGCTCGTACACCTTGGGGAATCCATTCTGCTGTTGTCAAGGGAGCCCCGGATTACCATTATAAAGATGGAGTTGACGGGAACAGTGGAGAGCAGCATGTGGAGGAGCTCCCCGTTTTGTCTGAACAGTAAATACAGTATAGCGAGACGCTAGACCTGTAGCCGTGGCCCTCAGGCCTCTTCTTAATCCGTCCCGACCGTGTCCGGACCCCCTGTCAGGACGGTGGGGGTGGGAGAGGGTAGAGGTACACCAGCTGGTTTGGTGCCTCCTGGCAGTGGCTTGATCTGCCATCTGTCCGACCCTGCCAAAAACACACCCATTGATTTCCCAATTCGTGTTCCTCCCCTTGCTCGTTCCAGGACAGGTGAGACTTAGCATGAAAGCATATGTCTTAGGGATGGGTCAAGATGCTCCAACAATCAGCTAGTCAAGTTTATCTAGATTCACCTTTGCATATAGCAATTACCTAACAACACTGAAATCAACTTAGCAACATCCTAGAAACAACCCCACACACCCTGGCCACTTATTACTGGACAGCCAAGTTTGGTAGAGCTGATCAGTGGCATGATGGGTCATTTAATTTGAATATCCCCAACTGAGCAAGCCAAAGGCAACAGTGGCAAGGAACCGAAAAACTCCATCAAGTGACCCGATGGTGTCCTAAAACTCCATCAGATGACCCAATGGAGAAAAAAAAAACCTTGGGAGAACCCAGGCTCAGTCGGGGCCAGTTCTCCTCTGGCGTTTATGAAGTAGAGGCCGAATTTACAGTAACTGTAAGATAAAAAAATTATATGAATGCCTGGCTAAATAGATGCGTCTTTAGTCTAGTTTTAAACTGGGAGAACGAATCGAATGAATAACTGTAACATCTGATTAAGTAAAATCTACTTAACTAAGTTAAGTAAAATTAACAAAGAAAATAAGTAACTGTAACTTGGTCAGTTGAAGTTACTTTGCAATAAAAAATGTTTTAAGTACATTTTACGCAAACAATATAACACTGAATTAAGCCATGCTGTTAAAGTGCATGCTTAGAACATCTAAGTAAATGATTTAGTAGATATTATGTAGACAACATTTCTACATAATAGAAATAATATGGTGCCTACCCGAACACATACCCCTTTTCCACCAAAAAAGAACTGGTTCGGAACTGGTGCTGGTTCAAAGTTGGTTCGGAGTTGGTTCAACTTGCGAACCTTCTCAGAACCTGTTTGTTTTTCCACTGACTAGAGCGCCCAGCGAACGACGTCGTTACGTCACTGTGTACGTCGCCATACATTTTAGCTAGAAACGCTTGCAAGTACAACATTACTTTGGGATTATCTCTAACTCGTGAACCAAGAAGGCTTTAAAAACAATTGAAATATGTAAGTCTTTTAATCTTTTCCTTTGATATGTAATCTTTTCTGATTAGTTATGTACTCCTGTCTTGTGTATTTTTTTTCTTTCCATTTATTTGTTCTATATTGTGACTGTTTTCTCCTTTGTTTACATAACGTTTTCAATAAATAAAATTGATTAAAAAAAAACCTAGAAACGCTTGCGCCAACTTCAAGCATAACAATTACAACGGCGGACTACATCGTGTTTCTGCAAATGTTTCTCCTGGCTTTGCGATCCTATATTATGTCAGAAAATATGTTATCTAAACCCGCCCCCAGCCCCCGAGGTAAGCATGACGTGGTAAAATAACGGTTCTAGTCCAGCAAAGAGTTGGTGCCGCTTTGGAACCAATTTTCCTGGCCGAGAACCGGTTCTTTCTTTGGCTGTCGAAACACAAAGAACCAGTTCGCGCGCAGGCACCGGCTCTGAACCGGCTCTTAAAATGCATTGGTGGAAAAGGGGTAACAGAGACCTCAATTGGTACATAATACACAATAACTGTAACATCTAATGGATAATGAGTATGAATGTGTCATTTTGAGTAAAAAAAAAATGAACACAAAACAGCAAGTTACTTAACCTAACAACAAAAGCAATGATAAAACAGTGTAAATACAGCTGGAAAACAATGAAACACCAGTATCATAAAGTTGAGTAGGTTTTACTTAATTTTATAACGTTGATGTTTCATTTCTACAAGCTTAAATTTAGTACTAATTAAACTAGTTTTTTTTTTTTATTCTTGCCTGAACTAACCTATTCAGATAGAAATTACTTTGTTCTTTCTATAGTATTTACTTCACCACAGAATCATTTTTATCAGTTGAAAAATGTACATGTCTAGTTATTATTATTTATACATTTGGCATACTTATAGGCATACTTATTTATACAGTGTTATAAATAAATTGCAAATTATTCACAAGAATATTGAGGTAAAATATTTTAATACATTTAGTATTGGAACAACCTCATTTGGAACATATTTCAACAGTAAAAATTAATAAAGTAATTAAAGACACAATTTAAAAAGTTAAAAGCTATAATAAACATAATAAAAACTTCTTTAAAAACTATACTAGGGGACAAAAAACGTTCTTGCTTTTCTCACCCATCTGTTTTATATGTGCCAGCAGATAATATTGAGACGGCGCCAATACAATCAAACCCACATTGTGTTTCAGGCCAAATGGAATATTGATAGAAGATCAGATTTCAGGTCACACAGGTTTCTTAATATTTTTTTCTTTTTCTTTGTATTTCTCCTTTAGGTGTTTCTCTCGATCCGATCACTTGGCACTGCACATGAAGAGGCACATCTGAGGAGGAGGAGGAAGAGGCGGAGGTGGCAAAATGGCGAGGTGAAGGAAAAGACAGAGAGAAGGTAGAGGGAGAGAAAGAGAGGGGTTATGGGCAGGAGCCAGATACCACTCAAGCCGTTCGCTCATCCCACCAGACAGAGGCCCCCCCGTGAGGGACCGATAGAGGGGCCACAATCGATCGATTAGACCAGCTCTTGAGTTTTGCTCGGCGAGATGCGATTCACTTCTGAAAGTCAGAGATCTACTGATCTGAGCAGTTGGTACGACAGCTTATGTCACTCAAAGACAATGTGCTTTAGTAGGTATTTGCGAAATAATCGAAACATCAATGACTCGATTTAGTTACGTTCCTTCGTCTCCGAGATCCATTTAATGTTTTAGTCAATGTTACTTAAAAGTATGTCTTACGCATATTGTCACAAACGGACAAAAGCTACCATTGCACCTGATTTGATTTACTGCACCGTGCGGGACGTGTCCTGAATGCATCTCCTGGAGAACCTTTGGAGGATATCATCATAGTGATAGGACGTCAATCCAAAGAGATGGATTTTTTTTTCTCCCATTTTGAGCAAGGATTATCTTTCTGCTTTGATCCCGCCAAGCCACAGCCAAGATCTAAAGTGGAACGTCCATCCGAAGAAATCTGGATTTCAAAGGTGAGAGGCGACCAAGTGGAATCAGCCATCGCTCAAATGTGAATCTGACTGGGGGCAGTGGAGGAAACTCTTACCTTCTTCATAGACAGACGAATCTCTCTCTTTCACGTCCCTTCCTGCCAACCAACAGCTGCGCAGCGACACTTTGAGACTTTTTATAAAAGAAAAAAAAAAATAAGGAAGAGATCTTTTTGAATGATGACAATGTTATATAATTCAGAAGACTTCTTTTTTGCTTTTCTCCTGTGGATGTGTACAAAATCTAAAAATAAAAATAAATAAAAATGGACCAAAAAAACTGCCATATGCACAAGAATAGTGGATTCTGCACTGGCACAGACCCCATCTGAGGTGGACTTGATTTCTATAGAAAACAAACTTTTAGTGGCGAAAAAAGAACATCAATGTTGTTGTTGCACACGTTTTGAGCATTCCTCAACATTATTTATGACCCATGAAACATTATCCCATAAACTTGGGTTCCTTTTGGGATTTCTAGGACTAGCATGAAATGAGAAAAGCACCATGGTTTATCTGCGGACTTCACAACATGATAATGACTTCCATCATTCAAGGCAGAGATTTGCGATCACAAAGTTTAGGTTTTTGTAAATGCATTAGAGTATGTCCCACAAAACCGGTCTGGACAGACATTTCCAATCAATTATTTTAGTTTGAACAGATAGAAGCATCATAAGAAACATTCACGTTGTGTGTTTCGCTGGTCCTGCAGGTGACATCTTCATGTTTTTTTGGGTTTTTTTTCTACATATCTGTCTGCCTTGCGTTCCTGGTAAAAATGTCTGTACAGTGTGAAAAACGTATAGTTAAAGTGAGGTTTAAATTACAACGTACAATCAAGTGTGGGATGGAAAGTGTTCCTGAATGTAAAGCTGTTTGATTGTGGATGGCCCTGCACTTATGCAATCATTCAGACCACTGAAAGGCCTGATCTGCTGAAGATAGATCCCACTGTGGCTCACGCATAAAGGCTTGTTGATGAAGGAATAACTCGCATAAAGTGAAAAATCTATCTCAACCCTCATGTCTTTCCAAACCTGTATGACTTTCTTTCTTCAATGGAACGGAAAAGATGTTTTGAAGAATATCCACAGCACTCTTTTTTTCCTACAATGAAAAACAGGAATGGGGAGCTGTCAAGCTAAACACAAAGCACCATAAAAATTGTCAATGTGACTCTATTTCAAGACTTCAATGTCTAAAACAGACCAAAACTGAACCCGTTATTCACAACAATCTTGCTTTCTGCAGTAGAGAATCTCATTCTCACTTATAGATATTCAAACTTGCACATACAAACAGTTACAAGACATGCAAAAACCACATCATTGACTTCAAAACTGTTGCAATGTATCTTCATGCATACATTTTGCATGATAATCTTTCAAAGCTATAATAGCCTATGTAATATTTCATATTTTTCTTGGAATATAAATCGTATGGTATGGAGCCCCGCACATCACGTGGACAAATATATATATCGAATATTTTCTCGTTTTATTAAATCATGGCCACAATTTTCTAATTCGTTCATTTGTTTTAGTTAAATCGTGGCCATGAATTAAGAATTCGTTCGCACAACTTAATTTGTTCCCTCGTTTTAGTAAATTGTGGCCACGTTTAACTAATTCGTTCACTCGTTTTGATGTAACTAAAACAAGGGAACTAATTATTACAATGTGGACACGATTTAGTTAAACGAGGGAACGAATTAGTAAAATGTGCTGACGCATTAGTAAATTGTGGGATTGAATAGTTAATTCGTGGCCACATTATTACCTAGTTCTGGCATGAAACTCTAATGGCGCAACTGATAAGTCTCATTTGTTAGTGATCACATCAATATCTACATGGCACAGCTGATTGGTTGTTGTTGCATCAGCGTCCAATGAGCTGCGGCTCAACATTCAAACAAATACCAGTAGTGTTTCTGTTATCATTCGGCAGCACGCTTTCAGAAACCCTCCCTCTTCCCCAGCTCCACCTGTATAGATCCGCTATAGGGGTTAATTCGTGTATGTTACAGTACATGTGCATCAGCAGAAGCATGTCTTACATGCTCACAGTGATGTCTGTGAATGTATCGGCAGTAGCAAGTATCAGTGCGTGCTCTGCAGAAGCAGCAGTGTAGCAGATCTATTCCACCAAGACCAAATACATTAACTTTGCCATATCCATTACCATACCAATCTCTATTACCATACCAATCTCTATTACATACCAATCTCCCGAGAGTTGTCATGACAGAATACTTTTTTTTTCGCATGCCATGTGCAGGGCTCCGTTACTTTGGTCTTTTTTTTTGTTGTTTTTTGGAGCAGCATAATTGACATTAATAATTAATATTTAACATTCTGCTAAAAGAAAGTCATACAGGTTTGGATCCGACATGAGGTTGAGTGAATGGTTTTCCACTTTTGTGTGAACTAGCCCTTTTTCCCTTAAATCCTGTTACAGTGGTTTTGTGCGCATTGTGGTGTAAACCACATTTGTATGGTCAAACTCAGAGGCCCAGATGTGAAGATGTATAAAATGAGCGCAACAAACCTAGATTTTATTTATTTTTAACTATTGCATATACTGTATATAAACATCAAGATGCTCATATTGATGCTTTGGCTCGTTCAAAGATTTCTAAACCCTAAACAGAATCAATGTGATTTTAGACAGATAAACATTTGCATAGTCGTTTTTTTATTACATAAAACCATTTTTAACCATAGATTTAAAAAAAAAAAAAAAAAAACATCTGGTTAATTTCACCCCAAAATAAGTGATGGACAAGGATATTCATGTCTTGTTCAAGCCGTCTGGTCACCTGTCAGTTCCTTCCTCTCACTCACTTGTCTAACACAGACCAACAGGGAGGCACGCGTGACAGAACGGCAGTATGGGTAATGAGAGAGGAATTGGGCTCTCCCAGCACTGGCTGCCCCCTCAATGGGGCGGAACGGAGTAGGACCGCACTGGGGGTCACACGCCACACTTGTGCTGACCGGGAGATCTTATCGTGGCCGCCCGACACAGTCAATTTCACCATGTAGCCGGGTGTCAGCTTACCTCCCTCCCTGGCCACATTAGCTCCATGAAAAATAACAAAGACACAAGGTCACTGGATTCCAGAGCTGAGCCGCTCGCATCCAATGCCCTCAAGAGACCATCGCACAGGACCGGGTTCTGACTGCAATCTAGTGCAAGGCTCTTGCTTTTCCATAGAGGGTTCAATCTGAATCGTTACAATTTATCTTCTAAATTTGTGTTTCAGAAAATTCATGAGTTATGGGCTATGCAAACTAGGAAGTAAAGCATTGTTTCGATACATTTTTCAAAGGGAGTTTTTGGCAAGAAGGATAAACGCATTGTGAGAAAGTGAATGTCACAAAACCTGTCAAGAACATGCTTGGATCATATTTCACCTCAAAAAAACAAAATAAATAAGAAGTCATATTTGTGATACAGAATCACTCCATTGTGATACATTACCAGACAAAAGTTTAGATTTTTTTTTAAACTATCATAATTCATAGTTTTTATGAATTCATACATTTTTAATTATACATTTTTTTTAATTATTAAAAAAACGATATCTCAATCAACAACAAAAAACTATGTTATATTTTAATATGTTTTAAATGTAATTTATTCCTGTAATGGCAAAGCTGAATTTTCAGCATCATTACTCCAGTCCTCAGTGTCACGTGACCTTCAGAAATCATTCTAATATGAAACATTGGAATAATTTGACAACTTTAAAATGTAATAATATTTCACAATACTACTATTTTAAAGTATCTTTGCCTTGGTGAGCATAAGACTTTCTTAATCCTAACTTTTCTCCAATTTATTTTCCCTATTAGTTATTCGTCATGTTACTGTACAGTATGTTGTACTGCTGTAATGCTGATTTATTTATTTTTAATCATTTTGTTCATGGGACGTTGGATATAATACATGTGTTTAATTATCATGAAAATGTCACAATGTTAAATAATCTTAATTTGTGGGTGTAATATGACCTGGGCATTTCTTTTCAGGTTTTGTGAGGATTCACAGTGTACCTTAATACCTGCTAATGGATAGAAACAGTGTTCTGTCACAAGTCTTGTGCTAAACTTTGAGCTTGTCAAGTTATTGCATTCTGTGAATCATGACATATGATGTTTACTAGTAGTTTTCCTTGTGGACTTCTGACCATTTGTTCACTTTAAGTGCACCTTTCCCTTAAAATCCTTCTTTAACACCCTCCAGCAGGACCAATTAGGGATGTTACCTTGGCAAAAACTAGCTAATGAGTTTGTCTTAATGGTCCCGAGAAGCCCCACAGAGAAGCTTGTTGTCTGCTTTTTTGGGGGCTTGTTTTATGTGCACCGTCTTTTCTCAAGTGTGTATAAACCTTGTATGTTACCCACTTAAACAGCTTTTAAATCGCACAGACAACTTACTGACCTTTTTGCTGTGGGATAATGCAATTATTTGTAATTACCGATGCACACTTACAGGTACATTTTTACATTCTACAATGTAAAATTGACATCCTAAAGTCCTGGCACGAGACACTACTACACATGCAGGGAACACTAAATTAGGAGTTTGAATGCATTTCATA